GTTTTATAATTATGCGTATATTTATTTTATCATTGCGCATGGAGTTCCAGCTATTGTTTATTTTTTACTGATATGCAAGTGCCACTACCCGACTAACTTCCACCTTTCCCTCCCGTTGAGATATAGACAATTCGCACACTTACCCAATGCGCATGTTTACCCCGAATGACTCTAAATACATTTTTAGATTTATATTCAACTTTCCTCATGCTAATACATATAATGTTTGTAACGTTACATATAATTTTTGTACTATTTTCGGAAATTTTACAACTGCTTTAATTAAATTTACCATTTTCGGGCGTTATTATTTATCATTTGTTCAGCATTGCAGCAATAATTATTAATTCCTTAAAACTTTTTTAAGAAACAAATGAGATCGTATGCCGCCTTCACGGTACAAAGCAGAAGAAAAGAACTTTTTTAAGAAAAGATTCTTTTGATTCATTGTCATTTATGAATCAATTATCGTTTATCATTGTCATTTGCCATTTTTAAGTCCAAGTCATCGTTAGATTATAATCCAATGTTGAACCGGTAATTAGCCTGCTTGCTAATACTTGTCCAATATTAAAAATTTGGTACCCAGCAATTGGGCCAGTTGTAAAAACTTATAAGTGTAAGATTACTGAAAAACTAAATTTAATCATATAATGTTGCACCATTATAAATATCACAAAACAATTATAATTAGCGATACTGATCAATTTCATTGTTTGTAATACTTAATCGAGATAAACAAACTGACTAGATTTAAAAACAGAGAACTATAATTACGTCATTTGTAATTATATGAGGACGTACTCGTGTTATGTTACATTCAATTACATTTAATTTGATTTATCGAAACGCGACACAAACCATTTTTTGATGTCGAAAATGACTAATAAGCATCATCGACTGGATGGAATATTTCATCGACTAAAACGAGCATTAGCGGCTAAATTGCAATCAAGTGATGTAAAGGCAGATTAAAGTGACGATTGAAACGTAGAAATTTGTACTTTCGTTTTTTTTAAATGTGGGGCGAATTTAATGTAACTTATTTTGTTGTGCCAAAATAAACAACAATATACATATATATTATTATATTCATATATTTTTATATTTTTGACTAGAATTATAAGTTTGTTTAATGTACCTATAGAAGTTCAAAAAAGGTATTACAGGCTAATATTTCAGAAATCAAATAAATAAAAATACAGTGATTTTCTTGTTACAAAAGGGTCTTTTAAATACGTTAAAATTGAATTTTAAATCCCGAGGGAATGACATAGATGACATTTTAAAATGGTTCAAGTATTATAAAAAAAATAATGGGAAAAATAATTCCATGTTGTAAACTAAGCACCTTTTACTTTAGATACATTTTTTCTAAAACCATAAGTATTAAAAATTATGTACCATAAAATATATCTGTTGTACATACGATTGATTTATAAATCCAGAAATTATATACAGTGTATAACTAGCACACTAATAGCGTTATTTCTTAAAAAGACTGAGTCAAAAAGATTTAAACAAATTAAACAAATGTCTAGAATGTAATAGATATCTTTTTGATTAATTTAATAAAATAATTTTTATTCTTTAAAAAACAATTTGTATAGAGTTTATGTTAAATAGCGTCCACTAACTATATAGCATTATTTTTTGTAAAAAAATTGATTTAAAAAGTTCTGAACCATTTTTTTCTACAATGTTCAATGAAGCGATAATTACTATAATAGTGATCGCTTCATTGAGCATTGAAGAAAGAAAGTTCAGGACTTTGACTCCATTTTTTTTACAAAAATTAATGCTATATAATTAGTGGACGCTATTTATTTAAAATACACTCTATACAAATTTTCTTTTAAATGATAAAAATCTTTTTATTAAATTAAAAAGATATTTATTACATTTGTTTAATCTAAATATAAAATTTTATCGCACATTTGATGATATGGATCACTACTTATGATGGATGCACAAGCAATTCTTTGCTTCATGTCTTCTTTAATTATTGGAGATGTGGAAAATACATGATCTTTAATTAACCTATCAATTAAGTTTTGAGATATTTAGATGAGTAATGAAAGATGAATTGAATTTCCTACATCTGTTTAGTGATCTCCATATTTACTTGATCTTACTCTCTTAGATTTTTTTATGAGAATATACTCAATTTGTAGTAAATTCGAAAGGTTTCTTTGTAAAGAAAATTGCCGTATAAATGATGTATTTTTATCCAGTAGTTCATGAGAATTATATTAGTTTATAACACTTTATTTAAGTCTCTTATATATCGTTTAATCATTGTCTATTATATCGCATAATCAATTTAAATATTAAAATTTGTAATTATATAATCAAATATGCATATTATAATATCAATCAATTAAACCTATATCCACAGAAATAAATAAATAGATATAATAATGAGCAGTAGATAGATATCTGCTTTTTAGAAATTATTTTTCGTTGTTTAATTATAAATTATTAAATCGTATAAAACATATAATATTGTATCAAATAAATGTAGCTTTTCTTCTAATTATAATTATGCACCACATCTAGCATAAAATTCTATGTAATTATTTATGAACTCCACGAGTAGTATAAATTACATTCGATAGCGTTGCGATTGATTTATTGGAGTAACTCGAGCGGAAAAATCCGTTTGCATATTTGCATTCGTAATACTTAGAACCGAATCAGTATCTGCAGTTAAATCGTTCGAGCAGATACGAGTGTAAACGCTTAATGTCGATTAGCGCGATTATGGCTGATGCATATCGAATCTACATTACCGAATCCCGAATCCGTACCGATAAGTACATTATCCCTATACAGTTCGGTATATTCATTGTTGCCGAAATCGTACGCGTAGGCAAGCACGTGCTCGCGCATAAAATATATATCAAGAGTCAAGAACGGAAAAGAATATTCTATGTAAGTACACAGTATATATGCGTGCATATTATTCTCAGCTGAATAATCCGAAAAAAACCGAAAATGTACAGCATTTTCATATCCTTTTGTTGACTACAAATGCATTGTTAGGATGAATTATCAATAAGATGTTTCGGTTAGCTAGATACAGACACAGACTTTTTATTAATCACTGACAAAAAAGAAAATTGTCCAGAACCAAGTTAATTCCCCTTAAAATATACTTTTAATTACAAAAATCTAAGAAATACTATTTTTTTACGTATTTTGAGGTTAAAAAAGTGCATAAATTCCTTAAAAGTAATGCGTATTTGATTCCTTAGCAATTATTATCAAAATGTAATATAAAAAATATATAACATTAAAAAAATTTTTTTTAAATTTTAATTGTTCTTTTTTATGTAACTTTATAATTACATATTTAGAGTCAAAATATAAATATTTTAAAAATCTAATATTTTTTAAATATCCGTAGTCCCATTACTATTCTTAAATTATATTTCTTTTATGAATAAAAAATTAAAAACAATATTGCAAAATCACAGAGCTCGTCATTAAATCGCAGTTATACAATGCACTGAGGTACGCCACATAAGGTAGAAAACGATCGCAAATATAATACGGAGACGCGACAACCATTCGATATTCTGCCGGAATAATTGACTGACAACACGCAAAGACACAAGATTTAACACGAAAAATTTATTTCGTCAGACGTACTATAAACTCGTAACTTATTAGTTAAGCTTTCCATTTACACCAAAACTCAGGTAATTCTCATTTGTAACGTTATACCTCAATTGAATGTACGTTCCTTTTTATTCTAATAAGTAAGATTCAACTGAGTTTTTACTTATAATCTGCATAAAGCTCGAAATCGTATGCTTTACTGATTGTCGAGTCTTAATTCACATTAAAAGTGAGGTATAAACCTATACTTTTACGCTCGATAACTTTCTACCAAAGTAAACAAGTAATAACATCATTATCTGATTGTGAGTATAAAAATACTCACATTTTTTTTAGATTTAGTATCATTTATGTGAAAATGGAAAGTAGCTATTTAACCAATTGGAACCAAGATGGTGGGAATACCTACATCAGTGCCTTGTCAATAGTAACGAATTGCTCATGACGCGACTGCGCATGAAATAGCACCTTTACGAACAGACATGTTCAATTGCTCGACGAGCAATTGGCTGCTTTAATGACTTGAACACGTCCAATTATAAAATTAATATTATATTATAAGCCAACTATTCAAGTTTTGTTAATCACGTAAACATCAATAAAACAGTTTGTTTTTAATAGTAATTTTTATTACTATTAAAAACAAACTTTATTAATACTGTAATCAAGTAGTTTCGCGCAACGTATTTTTATTAGAAGGAAATTGTGTTTAAAAATCGCGCTCGTCTTCAGAATCGAATCGTCATATCGATAACGAGTGCACGTGAGAGCTCGCGGCAAACTTCTGCTCACTCGGTCATATGATTTTATGGAAAAGGGCGAGTCTTGACTCTTGAGAGCCAGTTGACAGATCGATCTTTTGCTTAAGCGTGTTCGAGGAAATTTTCGTCGCAAAATGAAGGGATGCATATTCAACATCGATGGTGGCTACCTGGAGGGTTTATGTCGGGGTTTCAAATGTGGTATACTTCAGCAGAGCGATTACTTAAACTTGGTTCAATGCGAAACACTTGAAGGTACTTATTCAATTCACTTGATCGTTCGACAATCGTAATTTCTCTAAAAGCATTTTAAGCGCATATTAAATTTAAAAAAAGATGTTTTATGTTTTTGCAACGTGTAATTTTTATTTTGTAAAAAATGTAACTTTGAGAACATTCTCAAGAAGAGATTGAAATCTTTATTTGGACACGCAAAAATTCAGAGTCTTGATGCTCTTTATAAATTATAAATTTATTCTTTCTTCTTACTGAAACTAATTGATCGTCTATTTAGATTTAAAGCTACACTTGGCTGGCACAGACTATGGCAGCTTTTTGGCCAACGAGCCGTCTCCACTATCCGTTAGTGTGATCGATGACAAATTGAGGGAGAAGCTGGTTGTGGAGTTTCAACATATGCGCAATCATTCCGTCGAGCCTCTGTCTCAATTTTTGGATTTCATCACTTACAGTTATATGATTGACAATATCATTTTGTTAATCACTGGTACTTTACATCAACGACCTATTTCAGAATTGATTCCAAAGTGCCATCCTCTTGGCAGCTTTGAGCAAATGGAAGCGATTCACGTTGCTGCCACACCTGCAGAGTTGTACAATGCTGTACTGGTAGATACACCTTTAGGTATGACTATTTGGAATTATATTTCTCATTTGTATGGTTTCTTATCCTAATTCATATTACATGCGAATATAGTTCACAAATAAATTTGAAAGTGTCTTCTACAGTCACGGCTAGATTTTAGTGCCTAATAATATTTCCACATGAATTTTTAAATCCATTATTCAGCCATTTAAACAGTGCGCTAAATCAAATATCAGACTAGCAACGCAATCATTAACTGAATAATAAGATTACAATTGATTTTAATAATACAATGCAAATAAGCATCTTAAAACACTGCAAAGAAATTATTGCGAAAAATACTATCTTACCCTGGCTAAGGTAATATTTTTCCAGCTAATGATTCCATTGAAAGTCCAACATTGATTCAGTGCGTAGTGTAAATGGCTGAATAGATTTAAAAATTCATACAGGAATATTATTAGGCACTAAGATCCAGCCGTGACCATAGAAAGCACTCTCAAATTTATTTGTAATATTTACAGTCTAGTTCAAATTATTGTCAATATAGTTACTTTCCTGAATTGTGATAATTATCTTCTTATAGCACCTTTCTTCGTGGACTGCATTTCTGAGCAGGACTTAGACGAGATGAATATTGAGATAATAAGAAATACTCTTTACAAGGCATATCTGGAAGCCTTTTATAAATTTTGCAAAGAACTTGGTGGTACAACTGCAGATACTATGTGCGAAATACTTGCTGTATGATATTTCGTTCCAATAAAATAATGAGAATATTGTATTTCGTAAAATTACAGTTTTTTTGTTTATAGTTTGAGGCAGATAGAAGAGCAATCATTATAACCATCAATTCATTTGGCACTGAATTGGGAAAGGATGATCGTGCAAAATTATATCCACGCTGCGGACGTTTGAATCCGGATGGATTGGCAGCCTTAGCAAGAGCCGACGATTATGAACAAGTGAAGGCTGTAGCTGAATATTACGCTGTGAGTAAAATTTCAAATACATAGTTCAATTAGAAGTACGCTATTAGTTATGCAATTGTATAGCGTTTTATAAGTTTTCTTTATTTTATTTTACTTTCTAGTATTTTATGCTTTCTATTATCGGATATATTTTTGTGCGCGCGCGCGCGTACACACACACACACACGCGCACACACACATATTACAATCACAATATTTATTAAAACATTTATTTAAACAGGAATATAGCGCCTTATTTGAAGGTGCAGGAAATAATCCTGGTGATAAAACCTTGGAAGATAAATTCTTTGAACACGAGGCAAGTACACTTGTGATAAAAATAATTATAGCATGCAAATATTAATAAATTTATATATTATATTATCTACAATAAATATAATTTTAATTTTTGATATGCAGGTACGCTTAAACGTCCACGCATTCCTTCAACAATTTCATTTTGGAGTGTTCTATAGCTACTTGAAATTAAAGGAGCAAGAATGTCGTAATATTGTATGGATCGCAGAGTGTGTTGCTCAAAAACATCGAGCTAAAATAGATAATTACATCCCCATATTTTAAACTAATTATGTATTGACAATGATTTCAATCATTTATATTTAATTCTGCAACGTATTCCAATTTTCTTTTGCATAGTTAAAAATTATGCAAAATTAATAGTCTAATTGTCAGAAAGGTTCTTGGAAGTTGTTCATGGAATATTATCATAAAAGTTAATTTTAGAACATGAAGTAGATATGTGCTAGTATATATAAGTCAAATATTAATAAGCCGCATGCATGTATTATTGAAAATTATAATTTAGAATTGTTATAAGATTTTAAGTGAAATAGCACACTGTAGCAAAATCTGTATATATACATAATATATCTTATTGTCTTATTGTAATTTTCAATGTAAATCATTTTCATATGTACTGTAATTAACACATTGTTATTAACACATGCGCGCGCGCGCACACACACACACACACACACACACACACACACACACACACACACACACACACACACACACA